TCGTGATTGTTCCATTCATGACAAAGACATTTGGCGAACAGGACTCTGCCCTCCCCAGCATTACACGCAGCGGGTTCCACACCTGGTGAGCTCCTTCTGGGCCCGGCCCTCCCGTGGATAACAGCTATCCACTCTGTGCAAGTTACAAAACAAGGCCCGGATGCCAGTGGAGAGGGGACAAAAGGCAGCCAGCTTCTTAGAAGAAAGCTGACAGCTACAGGAAAAGATGGTGAGCATGATGTCCATTCGTGTGGCTTCAGCCTGCAGCCGCTGCAACCGTGCAGAGTGACCTCGGCCCCGATGGCCCCTGCCTGGCCTGAAGGGCCAGAGGACTGGGTTCGGGGCAGACACAGCCCCGGAAGGTGAACGGAGAATCCAAGAGCAGAAAAAGCGAGAAAGGAGGACACTCAGATCCTGTGGCTACATCTGCCTGATTAGATTCACCAGACTGCAAAGTTCTGCTCATCAAGGACTCTGTCAAGAAAACAAAGAGGCAAGCCGCGGACAGACAGAAAACACACATCTGGGGAAGGATCCGTATCCAGAATAAAGATCTTTACAATCCAAAAAATAAGACAAGCCACTTAAAAACCAGAAAAGTATTTGAGAAGACGTTTCACAAAGGATGACGCGTAAACATCCAAAAAGCACATGCATTAACGCTCAGTATCACTTGCCTTAGCTAGAAAGAGCAATATGGACACAACTGATGAAATTTGAATGAAGGTGTGTGGACTAGGGAAATTCTAGCAAATCCTATCAGTGTGAGATTTCCTGATTTTGCTAATTACACGGTGGTTCCGTAAGAGAATGTCCTTATCTTTATAAAATATACTCTGAAATATTTAGGCGTATCTTACACTCAAATGATTCTGAAAAAAGTAGTAGCTGTCTACCCTAGCCCGCCTCACCTGTGGTTCCATTCTCCACGGTACGGTTGCGGCAGTTGAGAGAAAAACCCTCTGAAGCTCTGAGCTATAACACCAGTTTAGATTTCTTTCTAAGTCAGCATGATGGTACGTACGCTTTGTTCAAACCAAAATCTGACTTCTGGTCCACCACCCACACATCGTGCACCTGCTTTGTGAATGAATAATCTGAAGAACATCTTGTCCTTCAGATTCCCGTCAATGCCCCTGCTCCCCACATTCCTTTACGATAAAACTCGTGATTCCTGCCTATATGCTAATCTGTAATCTCTTGGGCTTTCACAAGATACAAAAAAAAAAAAAAGTATATAACTCTGTAAAAACTGTCCATTCTCCAGAGCACATTCTTCTCTGTGAAGAGCTTGTTTCCCAGGCAGCTGTCCTAACCGGGCCTGAAGAAAACTCTCTTTCTTTTTTTAGAGATTCTAAAAGGTTTATGCATTTTGTGTCGACGCAGTCAACCACCATCCAGAAGCAGATGATGTATCATTGGAAGGTCAAAAGTAGCCTAACCCTAGGTCAGAAAATCTATGTCACTCACCTCACTCCACCTCATCACGTGGGCATCTTATCTCCGGTCATCACAAGAAGGTTGAGCTCAGGGCAGTAAGATACTGTGTGAGACAGAGACCACATTCATGCAACTTTCATCACGCTATATTGTTACAATTGTTCCATTTTATTATTAGTTACTGTTGCTAATCTCTTACAGTTCCTGATTTATAAATTAAACTTTATTACATGTATCTATGTATAGGAGAACAGAAAGTCTATGCAGAGTTCGGTACTACCCATGGTTTCAGGCATCCGCCAGGAGTCTGGGAACATACTGCCCGCAGGTAAGGATGATTATGGAACTGCATGTATATGCTTACACACACATATACTGTGCTTTCTCTCTTTTTCATGCTCTCTTCCTAAAGCAAATGGAGCAAGATAGAAATGATTCCGGAGTCTGGATAAAGAATATACAAGTTCCTTTTACTATTCTTGCAACTTTTCTGTAAGATTGAAATTACATAAAAAAAAAAATTACAAAACATCAAAACCACCGGAAAATGTAAGGAAATTTTCAAGGACTGGTGGGGTTGTGTCAAAAGGACCAGAAGTGGGTAGGAGAGCTACCAGTGGCCAGAGCTGTCCATTTAAGCACTATAAAGGCAAGGATCACAGTGAGTTGAAACCACACCGAATCAATGAAAATCCGTGAGTCCACAAGGACTGCTCAAAAAAGAGAGATCCAGGACAGACCAACGTGCCAGCACTTGGAGCATCCATTAAACTAACATCCTGCTTTTAAAATTATTCAAGAGAAGGAAAGAAGCATTTATCCTGTCTTCCCAGGAGGACTATATTTCATGGGAACCAGAGAAATCCAAAACGTTCCTGCCTAATAAATGTAGAAGGGACAGTAGATTTAGAAGAACCGTTGCTCAACCATAATTGTAACCATTACAATCATGGTTGAACAACGGTGGTCCCAAAGATTTCAGGTCCCAATCCCTGGGATCTGTCAATCTTGCCTATTCAGAAAAAGGGTCTTTGCAGGGGTGATTAAACCTCTCAAGGGCCCTTACGAGAGAGGCGGAAGGAGATGTGGTGATCCAGACAGAAGAGGTGTCAGGAAATCAAGGAGCACCGGGGCCCCCAGGAGCTGCAACAACACGTCCTCCCCTACAGCTTCTGGGCTAGCACAGCCCTGCATAGCCCTCAGGTTTGGACTTCCAGCCCCCAGACCCGTGACAGAACTGCTGATTGAAGTCGCTCAGTTTATGGTAACTTATGACAGCAGCCCCAGGAAACTAACACAACAATGAAGGTGATCCAGACAACGATCATTAGCCCGTGTTGAAACCCGGAGGTAAGTGAGCCTGGAGCTTGGAGGCTCTACAGTACCAAAGCAACAGCATACACACCACTTTCAGCAGCAGGGGACTAACGCAGTCCAGACACACTCCTCTCCTGACCTGATGACATAGGAAGAACACAACGCACAGGATGGTGAATTTAGTCAGCCATTCACAAATGGTGAATCCACCAAGCCTTTAGCTGTAACTTCTAGGAATAAGAACTACTGGGGATAGCAGAACAAGCTAAGAGAGCCCAGACACATCCAGGAGCTGCGACATTCTGCGGGCAGCGGCTCGGTCTTGCAAACCAGTGATGTGGGAGGGACTGATCCCAATAAAGGGCATAAGACTCCCCAGCGCGAGGCCCTTCCACACCCTGACAGCGTGCCTCACACAGCGTGCTTCACCACAACCACCTAAGTCCCCTGTCCCTTCTCCCTCTGAGGCATTCAGACACCTGTCCCCTTGTGATGGGTGGTACTTAGAGCCAACGCAGGCACTTTTAGAACACACTAAGGGAGCGCCAATTAAGTTGAACTGGGGATGGATTTGGCAGTGTGGGTTTCTGGAAAATATGCACGTTCCTGATTTGTAGTAACTTCCACGTGTAATTCAGTTCTTGCTAGCTGCTCTGGAATAGCTTCCAGAAATACTCCTGCCACCCATTTTGGTGACTTGCCCAGCACTCTGACACATAGGTATGGGGTCAAAGGTCAGATCTCCACCTGTCCTTGTTTCCTCCCACGTCTATGGGAGTGGGGGAATGAGGTTTGAGGAGCACAGCGCCAGGCTCTAGTCTGTGGATATTACCTCAATCACCAGACACATAAAGTTGGACTCTCTCCCATCAGAAACGTGATGATGCAGCATATACAATATTTGATGTGAATCACACACAGTAGGATTTTATCAGACTGCATGTTGGTAGCACACAATCCTGACGCAGTTTCGTGAACCCCAAGATGTGGGTTGTTCTATCTCCTCAATGGTCAGTAATTATAAACCACACTAAAGGAATATCTGTGATGACTTCCCTGATCTCCCTACAGGAAATCTTGCAAAATTATTCTCATAAGAAGAGGCTAGCAAAGAGTATGCTGGCAAAAATGTAGAAGTGTTAGAATATCAGTATTCTGATAGTTTTCTAGATGTGCTATTTGTGGGTTCACCAGCTTTTTAGTTTGTAGTTTTTTTGAAATTTCTTACTCTAAAATAGTATCTGCCTTAATGCAATTTCATATTCATAATGTTCTGTGTGTTTTTGTAAAGAGGCCTGGATACCATGTTCATAATGCATTGGTCTTAAAAAAGCCCCATGTTTTGGGACCTAATGACCATAGATGCAGCACATGGTGCTGGGCACACCAACTACAGAGACCATTCTGGGGTGAACTGGAGACACCACCCTCCAAGCGACTCTGGGGATGGAGGAGGATGGATGGCGTGAACCTGGGGAGATGGGAGACGGTGGCGGGAGAGAAGGGGCTCCTCCAGAATCACATGTCTTCACAGTGGTGCTCGGCGAGCCAGGAGGGGCCCAGACAGCGTGAGTGTGGCCTAGGCGTTAGCCCCACTGCCCACCGGAGGACCTGAGGAGTGTGCATCAGAGGTCAGAGCCATGTCTGTGGGAAGCCCTGCCCCTTAACCATCTGCAGGGACCCCCGAAATCCACACTGTGTTGCTGAAGCCATGGAATGGGCAGAAGCAGCCCCTCCAGTGGCAGCTGATGGTTTCTTGCCCGAGCCCAAACTTAATTTTTTTTAAGACTTGATTGATTGATTGATTGATTGATTTGAGAGAGAGAGAGAGAGAGCTAGGGGGAGGAGCAGAGGGATAAGCAGACTCTGTACTGAGCATAGATTCCGACTTGGGGCTCAATCCCATAACCCCCAGATCGTGACCTGAGCTGAAATCAAGATTCAGATGCTCAACCGAGATGCCCAGGCGCCCTGCCCTAAGTCTGTGTACTGTGCTGTTTTGTGCACCTTGCACACAGAATTATTTTCTAGGGTCTTCGTAGCTCTCTCAAGGGAGATTGGAGAGAGAAGCTTTAGTAAGTGTTACTCTACGAGTGTGGCCAGAAGGCCACCTCCATGAACCATCTTCTGCAGTGTTAGGGGTGCACGACCCCGTTCTTTATCCCAGGAGAAAACAGGGCTGAACAACCACAGCCAAATAACCTGGAGACTTCCAGCTTAAAGAACTCGCAGAGGCTCATCCATAAACAAAGGATAAGGAAGACGTTTATTCAAACTGTGCACTATTTAACAACTAATAAGAAAGATTAATAATGGATTAGCATCAACGGGCCAAATAACAGAGCGTTTTGGGGATAAAATCTCCTATTCTTCCCACTCACGTCAGCTCACTCTAGTAGTTCTGACTGTTTACTTTCTTCTTCTTCAAAACTAACAATTCCTGGGGGGAGAAAAGAAACATGAGTATATTCCACACCCATTTTTTCTATTTTGAAATTCTGTGTGCTAACAGATCTTTTGCAATGAATAATATTATAAATATTAAGCATTTATCGGGCAAAAAATACAATGTTAAATTTTATCTTATACAGACTTTTGTAGTTTTTCTTTGGTACCAGTGTTAGGAGTACATTGGACAGTTAGGGAGTCAGGGCCAGGGTCCCCAACAAGAAAATACGGAGTCAGGACAGCTAAAATAAAACAGCACTGACATCTCATTTTGCAGCTTAGACAGGACCAGACCAACATTCTGCTTTGCAGCCTTTGCAGAAGTGACTTCTGCAAAATGTCCTAAAATAAGACAATTCACCACCAAAGCATTTGTCAATATCACGGGCAAGGGGCAGTTAAGACATAAGCCCCCAGATGGCAGCAAAAAAAGACAATCAGCACATGGACATTAACCTAATAGGTAGACAGATACCTGACCAGAGCCCTGATTGGCACGATTCAGCACACCCTGATTGCTTAAGATAGCGAAAGAGCTCATAAAAACCCCTAAACTTAGACTCTCCAAGGGCAAATCTCTCGGGACCCCTCCCTCTCCGGGAGCTTTCTGCTCTTGCTCAATAAACTTTGCTTTGCTGCCCACCACTCTCCGACTGGTCCACCTCTTCATCTTTTGAAGTGGTGTGACCAAGAACCACAGACCTAAGGGGACAAAAAATCCTGTAACACCAGCAATAAACTAAGCAAAAGATAAATTAAAGTCAATGCTGAGAATATGCCCGTGAGAGTGAGCTCAGTAACTATCTTTGCCTGCACACACTGTCCACATATGACCAGCTTTACAAATGTGAGGCGGCACTGCTCGGCCCTTGCATCAGTCAAAAGAAAGGCAAGGACTTGCTACATTCTGATAAGATGCTATCTTGAAAGTATCATGAAAGTTAGAGTTATTTTTTATTGTGAAGTAAACTCTATAACCCTCACTGCTGGCGATGAAAAGAGATTAGCAGGCTGAACCTCGGACATAATGTAGGAATCGTGTTAAAGCTTGAGCTCTTGTTATTGTCTTGAAACGTTTGCCTACCAGGCCCATTGTTTACTTTAGCCCGTTTTTCGTTTAAGGCATTCTGGCATTTTGGCATCTACCCTGGAAGGTGCGTAGCACCATCCCTCCCTTCTCCCCCACTGCCCCAGTCTCAGAAATACTTCTGATGCTGCCGCACTTGCTCCGTGCACCTTCCTGTACACAGCAGTCAGTGGTGGTCACACGGCGGGCACACGGCAGTCGAGTCACAGATTCTCCACGCGCTTCCCATCAGGCCCTTGGTGCCTCTAGTGCCCCCTGGTTGGGCAAGCAAGGTGTCCCCCCACCGAACGTGCTCAGGATCAGCCATAGCCTCCACGTAGGGAGCATCCATATACCACTTAAATGCTCTGCAGATGCAGGCCTCCTCCATCCTCACAAACCTCAGGGCACTGGGGACAAATGCAGGATGCAGTGGGGTACAAGCAGGAGGTCCCCCCCGGCTGCTGCTGGGAAACCCTGGCGTCAGCCCCTGCACTCTCAGCCACAGGCCGCCAAGCCACCAGCACAGGCTTCTTCGGTGCCCCACGACGTAGTTCGACTCACTTGCCAACAAAAGCCTAACTCTATGTGCGCCTAACACTTTGAGATAGAAACCTGTTTTACAGTTCGTTATTGCAGAGATTATCTTCAAAAAAATGGGGAGTACAAATCTTCAAAAAAGGTATTTGTTCTTAATTTTCAATAGAGACAGACTAACCTGCACGGGGTCCCCAGCCCAGCAACCACCAGACCACTGGGTCCCTCACCACCAAGATACCTGCCTTAAACCAGACACAAGAAACTGGGCTCCAAGAAGAAAGCCCTCTCTGAACTCCCTGGGGATGCCGACAGCACTTGGAAGGTTTTTCAAAGATTCTAGGAACCTGAAGCCTCAAGCAGACTGAAAGTCGAATCCCTGGCCTGTGACCTGCAGATGCAGAAGCTTCTGGATTAATAGTACATTCAAACCCACTTAAAAAGGGCTGATTCCCAGCACTGCTGGCCCCTAATCAGACTCCTGTGATTCGACCGTGGTAAAATCAGGTAAAAAAAAAAAAAAATGAAGTCATGTTATAAATCTCTAGTGAGACTCTGCAGCCTAAGGCTGCTCTTTTGGTAAAAATGGAGATAATTAGCATGTGACAGAGAGCGAGAGGCTGTGCAGGGCAGCAGGCCCCCCCCCCCCCTGCCCCGCACAGTCAGGGGTTTGTCGGAGAGTGCCTGAGAGAGCAACATCCCCGTGGCCCCTGAGATCTTGTCCCAGTCCCCAGGGCAGCCCACGGACGCCAAGGTCAAAGACAGGAGAACCCGAGAGCCCTCCTCAGTGTGCGCCCGCCTCCTCCCGGGGCCCGAGTGCATGCTCACCCTGGTCGACGGCGTCATATCGGAAATCCTCTCGGCCCTCCTCCCAGGTGCCATCTCCGTGGTCCTGCCCAGGCCTCATGGAGTCGGTCTCCCCCTCGGAAACATCTGCCAGAGCCTGGCCCTCCTCCGAGAGCTCCCCACCACCTGACATGAAGCCACAGGAACCACTCTCACGGAGGCTGCGGGCCTGGGTCTCAGACGGCTGCTTCCTGGCCTGTCAGCGCCCACTCCCTCCTGCTGATAGTGTGCCCGCCACCCCCTTCGGGGACCCCCTCTCCTGTTTGAAGTCACCCAGTCCAGCCCAGATCTGGAGTGCCCATGCCCTGTCTCGGCGAGGGGTTCAGATGGGGCACGTCTACGTCCCACCGAGAAGCCACACTCTGTTCCCCAGGGAACAGGGCTGATGGGTGACAATTCGAGAGTCGATGAGCACTGCTTTCCAAAGGGAAGGGAATGCCCATAAGCAGAGACCAGAGAGGGGAGGCCTGACCCTGCCATGCCTGAGGCTGTCTCCACCCCAGACCTCTCTGGCTGGAGGAACCCCAATACATTAGGACCCCTGCCCGGTGTAGCCTTCTCTAACAGCCCCCGGCACCTCAGCTACTTCTCAGGAGGACCCCCGGGGTGGGGACGGCCAGCTGCGGCTGTCACCGGGCTGCTCTCAGCCCTGGCCCAGGCTCAGGCCCGCAGCAGTCGCTGACCAAGGGGGGCGGGCTCTTAGCAGCAGCGCTTGCCGTGGGACCAACCAGTTGTCCGTCTAGCCGGTCAGTCCCACTGCCCCCCCCGCCGCCCCCAGGAGGGTCCAACCCCCCACCTCATCCCGCACACGGAACAGGCCCACAGAGAGCAGGCGCCCAGCGCTGGTGCCCCGGGGGTGCCCCGTACCCTCGGGTCCTGGAGCCTCTTCTGGGCCAGGCCCGTCCGTAGGCGGCTGCTCGTTGGGGAGGGCTGGGGGCCACAGAGCCAGCTCTGTGATTTTGGTGGCCCTCCATTTGGGAACCACGGTCATCATCATCGTCTCCTCCCCCTCTTCCTCTTCTCCTCTTTCCTAATTTACCAGAAATGTGAGATTACCAGCATGTGTGTACACGGGGGGGCACTCGGCCACCAGGATGGCAGGCTCAGTGGTCCGCCCCGCTGTCAGCTGCCCCCGCTGGGATCTCGGCTCAAAGGTGGATCTTGGACACGCCAGGACGAGGCGCAGACAGGCATCGCCACGTGGCACGTTCCTGCTCCTGCTCCTGCCGCGAGTGGCTTCCGGACCTGACACTCCCAGCCTTCTGGAGCAGTTCAGAAGTGACCGACACCAGCTGTGGCTCTCAGCTGCTCGGCCACATTGTCCAGGTCTCAGATTCCTTGTGTATAATTAGCTAGCCTCCCTGGCAGGAAAGGGCTGGAGTCATCCTAAGACCACCATACAGCATGGAAGGGCCTGAATACTAAAGCTGTAGAATCAAGGATTATGGGGGAAATGAAATCCCATGAAAGCAGAGGGAGAGTTGATCTCTTTAAACATGGGATCTTTTGTAAGAGTGTACAATTCCGGCAACTGAGCAGCCGGCACACGCCCACTGGGCCGAGCGTGCCAGCCTATTCCCCAGTTTTGTAACTGTCACAAATTTCCCAAGATCTGAGTATCAATAAATGTGGGAAACGTCACCGTCACCTAGAGGATGATTCCTATGACAAAGAGTGACAGAGACCTACCTATTACTTCCACTGAGTCGCTCAGAACTAGATGGCTTGGTTGCCAAATTTCTGAGCTCCATCCCCCATGAAGGGTGATCCCAGTGCCCTAGAATCACCGGGGGGCTAGTGAAAACAGGGGTCGGAGCTTCTGCGTCAGGACGTCGTGGGTGGGGCCCTATCACCTGCGTCTCTAGCAGATGCGCAGGTGATGCGATGCTGCAGGCCCCGGACCACACCTGGAGAGCCGCCGCGGAGCACCTGCCATCTCGCGTCCTCTGTGCACCAGGACACCCGGTTTCTCTGCTTATCACAGCTCCGGTCGTCATCCCAGAAAGCTCAGGTGCGGCCTTGGAGTAAGGCCCTCAGGTTGTGTTTAACTCCCCAGGCTTATTCCTGAACAGGAGCGGTTCTGGGGGCTTATAGCAATGGCCAGCTTCTCCCCCTGACCACAGCTGCACGGGGGCTTCTGCGGAAATGGTGACGTGATACTGGTTGGTTCTGGGAATTCGGGTCTGGACCGAGGCACGCGCACACAGGGAGATGACAGCACAAATGTTGCCAAGAGCTGGCATGACTTCCATGTGACTTGATGGGATCTGTGGGCTCAATACCCCCAGGCAGCTCTTTGGCCTACAGACAGAGGATGCTTTATGCACTCTGCCACTCACCGCATGTGTTAGACGGTACTCCCCATGCTGCTCACATCCGATATCAAACACGTACTTTCCAGGGCCGACAGGCTGCGGGCAAAGAGAGACCAAGAAGGGCTTCACTCTTCACCACTCCACGGAGCACGTTCACCACCCAACGGAGCATGCAAACTGCCGCAGAGATGTCACCTCCAGAAAACCTGCCCCAAGTCAGGCAGTGGGACAGCCAATGCGGATTAAAGACAGCTTTTATGAACTGATGGCCAATGGAATTACCAAGTATAGAGCCTGTTTGCTTCGTTATTTAAACTTTAGTTTTATCTTTACAAAAGTAATGTATTTATTACAAAAATTTCACTAAGTCCAGACCCACAGGCAAACGAGGTAGAGATAGAAGTGCTAATAATATTGTGACATGGTCTTGGGGCCCCTGGTTGGCTCAGCTGGTTAAGCATCTGACTCTTGATTTCGGCTCAGGTCATGAGATCGAGCCCCTCCACAGGCTCCGCAGTAGGCGTGGAGTCTGCTGGAGATTCTTTCTCTCCCTTTGCCTCTGCCCCTCCCCCTGCTGCCCTCTAAATAAATAAATAAATAAATCTTTAAAAAATGTATATTGTGACATAGTCTTTATAGCCTTATTCCTTATTTCTAGTACACAGATTTTTCTAAATAAAAGTTTGACCGTAATTACACACACTGACTCATACTCTACTTCTACTTAGAAACATGGCATAAATGAATTCCCATGTTTACCAACAGTCTTCCACAATGCCAGTTCTCAATCTGGTATTTTCTTTCACTTAAGAATTAGAATCTATTTTACCCACCTACTATTGTTAATATTTGGCACGCCGATGCTATCCCGACAAAGACCACTGCAGGAGACACATTCGGAGTCATGTCTTATGTACATTTTTGATATTTTCCTCAGGGAAGTTTTCAGAAGTGGAATTTCTTGTATACACACACACACACACACACACACACACACACAGTGTGTACATATATACTCACAAAATATATAGGCACACCTATTTTTTTATATATTGACCAGAATAAGGCTCCAATAATTCTCTTTCCCACAACAGCACTGAAGAGCCCCTTGTCTTCAAACAAGGGGCTCTTATTTTTCCTGGGCATTAACATTTTGCTCTATCTTTACATTTTTTCAAGATATATAAAACAGGATCTCATCATGAAGTCACATCTTTAAGCTATTAGTAGGGTTGGATTTTTTTCAACATTTTTGACCACTTAAATCACATTGATGGATGCAAATGCTTTATGTATTTATATTTAATGTTACAAATATCCTAACCCCGTTGGTAATTTATCTCTTAAATTTTCTTTATGGCGCGTTCTAATCAATAAGGGATTACGTTTAGCAAGCAAAATCTGTTGGGTTTTCCCTTATATTTCTGTTTGGAAAGTCCTCTTTCCTCATTTCAAAGTTAATGAACATTGACCTATTTTTTCCCCGCGGTTTTGTTTACATTTCAACCTTCACTCCCTCTAGTGCGTGTCTTCATCTCACGCTGGACGACAAACTGACTTTGTTTTTCTCCCAAATGGTTATCAAGCTGTCTGAGCGCCACCCCTTGACTTCTCCCTATATCATGTCCTCATTAGTTTAAAGGACGCCCTTGTCAGGAGCTAAATTATCGTATGCACTTGAATCTGTCCCTAGACTTTCTAATCTGCTTACAGATTTCCCCATGGAGATCAATGAAGCAGATTAGAAGGTCTAGGGACAGATTCAAGTGCATACGGTAATGCACTTATTAAAGTATGTTTTAACAACTTGTCGGCAAGGATACGAACAGGTAATTCTCTGAGGAAGATAGTCAAACCAGTAGCAAAATTGTGTGAAGACGCTGGACTTCACTAGGAATCGGGAAAATGCACATTAAAACAACAAGACCTTTTTTATCCATCAGATTTGCAAAAACATTAAAGACTGGTGACATCCAACATTGGAGACTATGTGACAGAGGCTCTCAGAGTCTATTCACCAGAGTATGAACCGGCAGAGCCCTTTAGAGCAACTGTGGCAATATCAGTCATGATTCAAAATGTCAATATTTGTAGACTCAGCAATGGCAGTATCTAACCTATGTAAATATTCCCAAATGCGCAAAAAGAGAGATGTCTCTGTGCATATTTCTGTGGCCCGATGTAATGCGATCCTATTTACATAGTGACAGCCCCGTGCTGTCCGTAAGCGTTTGCGCACGTGCCGCACAGAAAGATGTGCGGAGGGTCCCACGCCGGGGGGAGAAGGGAGGGTTGGAATTCAGGTGGGCAGTGGAGCGCCGAGCATCTGGGGGCTTTACAAGTGGAACGGAAGCTGACCCTTGAACAACGCAGGTCTGAACTGCACCGGTCCGCTTATATGCGGATTTTTTTCAATAAATACAGAGCAGTGCTATAAATGTGCTTTCTCCCCCTTATGATTTTCTTAATAACATTTCCTTTCCTCTAGCTTACCGTATTATAAGAATATAGTACATAATACATATGTAAAGTATGTGGCTTGCTTGGTGGTTAAGAATACAGTGTATAACACCTGTAACATACAAAGTATGTGTTAGTCGACTGTTTATGTCGTCAGTAAGGCTCCCGGTCAACAGCATGCTCTTGGTAGTTAAGTTTTGGGGGAGTCAAATTCTATGTGGATCTTCGACTGTGCGGGGGCGGAGGGCGGAGATCAGGGGTCAGTGCCCCTGACCCCTGCATTGTTCAAGGGTCAACGGTACTTGTGTGCTATTTGCATAGTTTTCACTAACTAGCAGAACAAAGCTCTTGTTCTCCAGGTTAGTCTAGGCTCAGCTGCATTCATTGATTCTTCCCGATTAACTTCTGTCAAATTCTCTTTCCCTCCACACAGCTCCCCGGGGCCAAAAAATATCCCATGAAAATTTTGCTGAGAATTACATAGGCAACATATAGATTTGGGGAGGATGTGCTGCTCTACAAAGACTTAAAAGTAGAATCTGTAATTAGGGAATGAATTTTATGTAAATGAAAACTGAGTTTTAAGAGAGTCTGAGGTGACTTCATTAAATTAGTTCAATATTGCCTACATCAATTTTTTTTAAAGATTTATTTATCTGAGAGAGAGAGAGCAGGGGGAGGGGCAGAGGGAAAGGGAGAGTCCTCAAGCAGACTCCCCACTGAGCACAGAGCCTGATGTGGGACTCAATCTCAGGACCTGAGATGAAACCAAGAATCAGATGCTTAATCAACTGTGCCACCCTGGCGCCCCCCTCTACGTCAACTTCTACTGCCTTTAATTTGCTCGGCAAACTCTTCAGGGAAAGTTTCTGGCCAACGCCGGCTCGCAGACACGAGGAACGCCAGCATGGTGGGGGCTGAATATGCAGAGCTTCTCTGCATCCCAGCAAGGCTTAGCACAGCCATAGAGCCCTCCAAACAGAAATGACCAATTGTGGCCGCCTGGGTGGCTCAGTTGGTTGAGTGACTGCCTTCGGCTCAGGTCATGGTCCTGGAGTCCCGGGATCAAATCCTGCATCGGGCTCCCTGCTCAGCGGGGAGTCCGCTTCTCCCTCTGACCCTCCCCCCTCTCATGCGCTCTCTCTCTCTCTCTCATTCTCGCTCTCTCAAATAAATAAATAAATAAAATCTTAAAAAAAAAAAAAGAAATGACCAATTGTGAGCACTGCGGACTGGACACCTTCATGCCCAAGTCCACGCCCAGGGTGGGTGGGCTAGCCTGCAGCAAGGAAGAAGCTCGTGGGTCTGCTTTCCCAGGGCTCCAGCCCCGTGCCTCCCAGGGCAAAGAAAGTCCAAACACCCATATGCTCAACCACAGGAAATGTTTCACGTCTGATCTACCCATGATGAGGAGCACGTATGAGAGGCAGGATGCCCCGGTGTTATAACGATGGGATGGATCACTGCCCGGTGAGAGGGGGGATTTTGGTGAGAGATGCAAAGAAAAGAACCAAGTGCCCCTCCACTCTGCCCTCTGTCGGCGTCAGAGGCTCACGGAGAGGCACGGCTGCCCACTTTCTGTATTTGGAGGGGGTGGGAGGGTTCCCGGAGTTTTTAGTATTCCTCGTCAACATATTTACATAGACTGGGGGAGGAGGGCACACATCGTTTCCCACCGACTTACGTTTTTGTTCAAGAACTTGCCCTGGTACCTGTGGTTCAGGTGAATGAGTTCGGCCGCACCGTCTTGCTGTCCATTCACCCAGGTACCTACGTACTTACTGCCCGTCTCTGCGTAGAAATAGGTGCCTTGCCCATGCCTGGTTAAGACAGAGAGAACAGTGCGTTTTGTTCCGACACAGTGAAAAACCTTCCAGGTTTATAAGACACATTTAAATTGAGGGTGGCCTACACTTAACTTCTCTATCTGTGCCATCAGAGCTCATTCCTGCTCCGTGTGCCCAGCATGGGAGGGCAATTGCCTGCTGGACAGCGACGCCGGTCCCGCGTATCAGCCACTTCACGTGGACAGAGGCAGCGCTCCTGGGAGCTGTGGCTCTGTCCCCAGGAGGGCACTTCCGTGGCCTCCTGGCCCCGGGGGCTCTTGAATGAAGGACCACATATTCTCCCTGCGAGTCTGCACCTGCCCGGCAATGTCGCATCTGGCGTGGCCACCTTAAAGCCACGAAGGGTTTGGACTGCCTGGCAGAGTTGGCTAATGGGCTTTTGTCATAGTTCTGCCCCATACTAAGACGTCGTCCTAGTCTCATTACATAAGTGAGTTTACAGAACGGAAGAGAGAACGCAAACCTTTGGTGAGCAAACCACTCCCCCGTGTAGGTGTCATTATTGACGTAGTAGTAGATGCCGTAACCGTGCCTTCGGTCGTCCGCCCACTCCCCTGGAAGGGACGACACAAAGCAGGCCCAGTGAGAAGAGGGAGAGAGGACTTTCACCTGCTGCCTCCTCCGTCTGTGACCCCCCCCTTTCCCCCTGCCCCTCCAGCTGGACGGCATGGCGTGGGGGTCCGGTTAAAGGGAAGCTGAGCCAGGGGCTCCCTGGATGCAGGTCTGGGCAGGGGTAGGCATGTGGGCTGCAATGAGCTGAGTGTGCCAACAGCAGGTATCACGGCTGGTCAGTGGCAGAGCAAGGATTTGAACCCAGGTTTTGTCTGCCCAGCTGTCCCTAGAGCACACTCGTTCTGCTTGCATGTGTTTAGCGATCCAGCACCACCACCAAGGCTCGATGATCTCTCCTCAGCCCCTGGCCAGCAGCTCGCTCTATTCCCATTCATCACCTGGCTCCCACACAGCTTTCCAGCCCGGGCGCCCGGGGTGCCCCACCTGCACACCAGCTCCATGCGTGCGGACGCCGCACCGTTCCCAGCCCCTGCCTCTACTTGGACCCTTCCCTCACTAATTGTCCCTGCCTCCTCACCTCCGTGCCGGTTCCTGCGAATCTCCTGCTGACTTGCTGAGAAATACTGGAATTGGCAAAGATACCGTAAACTGCCTGACACCTCTACCATAATGACAACAGCAAACTAGTTAGTGAATGCAGTCGATCCTTGAGGATGGATCCCTGCACCAGGAGACTTCTGACGCCCTCCAGTCTTACAGCTCACACAGGAAAGAAACTTAATAGAGGTTTCCGAGGTTGACAACTCTCCTAAAAACACACGTGGCCTTGCTAATAACAAGTTGTTACCCTGAATGACGCTTTTCGAGCCTATGAATAATTTTTAAAAAAATGAATTTTGATCAATTTTTGATCAAAGACAAAAGATAGAATTCTCTATTTTCTCTGTAGAAAGGGATATTACAAAATTGTTGTCGGACAGACATTCCATTATTAGCTAGAAAGGTAAGAAAAAGGAGTGCAGCAGGCATGTCAGACATGAATTTTTTTAAACATCCATTTGTCACTGCCTCAGATTTTGTACTGTTTGTGGTATTTTAAAGTTGTTTTTATTTACTTTGATTTTTTATTACAAATAAACATTCACATTTATGCCAATGTTATATTCTTTTTCTTAAATAGAGCCCCTGAAACTTGCATAAGCTCCTGGCTTACAAGAAAACTGGACCCGCTTCCGCATGAAGAGAAAGCATAACGCAGCATGCCAAGAACATGTGGACCATCCAAGAAGTATGTGTTTACATGAGAGAGCCCCATGTTTGTCGACAACAACAAATCCACAGAAGGGCACGTCCACATGTTTTCTCTCTCAGTCCCACAGGTCCCAAGCACTCTGTGAGACAGACAAGCAGCGCTTCCAGGAACAGAGCTGCCCTGGGAGAGCGTGCCATCACCCGGGCGGGAGGCCAACCCGCAGTCGCAGCCCCAGCCGCAGAAAGAGCTGCGTGTTCAGGAAGCAGCTAGCACTCCAGAGAGAAGCAGCTGGGGCCGGTACCAAGGAAGGAAGACGCGTGATGTGTGCCAGGAGCAGCGTGAGCAGGGGTGATGGAGAACCCAAACTGAAGTAATTCAGCAAACACAGGGGCGCGAACCTAAAGCCGCCCTGAGGACAGAGAGAGTGTGCAGAAGTCCTGGAGGACTTGGGCTTTAAGGGGTCACTGTGTCCTGGTAAATTACCAGTTTAAAAGGAGAAGGAGGGCAGATGTGTAGCACGGGCCGGTTTCTGCGGTGTAAATATTCCCACTGAGGCCGCGGTTGAGCTGAGTATGGGGCTGGGGACAAGCAGCCCAGAGCTGGCTTGTGTGAGCGCTCAGGAGCTGAGCAGGCAGGGCCCCGGGGGCCAAGACGTCCCTTGGTTTCTTCCCCCAAAAAAGGCCATGACAAAACGGTTCCATCCTCTTCTCTTGGCCATGAGAGCTGGTCTCCAGGGCAGCATGGCATGAAAAACGTAGAAGTATTTTGCAGAAAATTTTCGAGAAAAATAATTAGATTATAAGGGCACCTGGGTGGCTCAGTCAGTTGAGCATCTGACTCTTGATTTTGGCTCGGGTCATGATCTCAGGGTCATGGGATTGAGCCCCGTGTCCAATGGGGTCTGCGCTCAGTGGGGGTCTACTTGAGATTCTCTCTCCCTCTCCCTTTGTCTCGACCCCCATGTTCTTTCTTTCTCTAATAAATAAGTAAATGTAAAAGATAGGAAAGGAAGGAAGGAAGGAAGGAAGGAAGGAAGGAAGGAAGGAAGGAAGGAAGGAAGGAAGGAAGAAAGAAAGAAAGAAAGAAAGAAAGAAAGAAAGAAAGAAAGAAAGAAAGAAAGAAAGAAAGAAAGAAAGAAAGAAAGGAAGGGGCACCTGGGTGGCTCAGTCGGTTAAGCGTCTGCCTTCAGCTCCGGTCATGATCCCAGGGTCCTGGGATCAAGTCCCACATCGGGCTTCCCTGCTCAGCAAGAAGTCTGCTTCTCTCTCTGCCTCTGCCCTTCCCCCCTCAAAATAAATAAAACCTAAAAAAAAAAAAAATTAAACTGCAAAAGGCACCAAATTTTAAGCCAGTGCAGAAACTTTTTTAAAAAAGTCCCAGTTTATGGAACAAACACGCTGAGATCCTGAGCAGCAGATGGTAACCGGGCCACAGGAAATGGTGCAGAAGGGAGGGAGCTAAGTGAGGTAAAGTTCGCCTCCTGGAGCAGGTCTTTAACAACCATGAGGCAGGTTTCCCTTTTTATGCTGCATGCCACTGAGAAACTGTATTACTGTTGCTTTAAATGTGCACTTTGTGTTTTGAAGTCTTTCTACCCCTAATCCTATACTTTCTCCTCATTCTCGATCGTGTCAACGGTGTTTTTCGGCTACATTTCTGTTTGGGAGAAATCCCCACAGTTGGTTGGCTGGGGTCTGGGCTGGTTTTCCTCCAGGAGAGCACTGTCCCCTTACAAAGCTCTCCACATGCATCGACCGTGCGGCTGTCCCCAGGCTTCCAGAGCTCCCAGGTCTGGAGCTCTGGGGATTAAAGACCATTTAAAATGAAATGTCCTGGGGCGCCTCGGTGGCTCAGTCAATCGAGCATCTGACTCTTGATTTCAACTCAGGTCATGGTCCCTGAGTCGTAAGATCAGGCCCCGAGTCAGGCTCTACACTTGGTTCGGAGTCTGCTTGGGATTCTCTCTCCCTCTCCCTCTGCTCCCTCACCCCTGCTCGTGTGCATGCGCGCTCTCCCCCCCCCCCCTAAGTAAATAAATAAATGAAATCTTTAAAAAAATAAAATAAAACAAAACAAAAATAAAATGAAATGCCCTTCCAAGAAGCTCTCTTCCCACTTAAAATGAGGGTTAGTCACTGTCTGCCCTGCTGGGTCCCTCCGCTGCTGGGTCAGCAAAACATGGAAGAGACGGGAACTGACATTGGTGGGGCATCACTCTGGTGGTGGTTCCTGCCAACTAGGGTCTTTGCGCTGGCCACCTCCTTAGGGATGTGTAATAACTGAAACACGTTTTTATAGGGACAGCACCCAAAACCAGAGAGATCATGCACATTGCCCAAGGCCACACGGCAGGACTGAAACGAAAATCAGGGTTTCCTGGGCTCCAACATCATGCTCTCCTCCACAAGCACCAACGGCCAAGCATTCATGTCTTCTTCCGCCTCCTGCCACCTGAGAGCTTCCAGAAAAGCCAACTTCAAGTCATCATAGCATTTTGTCTCTCCACGGTGTTATTACTAAACATCTTCATCTTTATTTGCTCCTTGCGGCCGGCAACAGGATCAGCGCTGGAGAGGGGTGCTCCCTCTCCTCTCCCAAGCCCTCACTGACCCTCCATCCCCACATCTCACAATCTGTAGAGGTGGTCCGAACACCCCTCCAAAGTCTGGCACCCACTCACCCCTCCAACCTCATCCCCTGCTCCGCCAAGCACCCCTGCCTCCCTGCCTCTGCTCAAGTGGCCCCCAAACCAGGAGTGTGCGCTCGTCCCTGGGCTCCCGAGCTGGGAGATCAGTAATGTGCCCCCTACCTCGGGCCGAGGCTGAGCGCTCTTGCTAACCTGCAGGAAACCACTCTGCGTCCCTTAGGCTGACCGTCGCCCCATACACAGTTTTGAAGAATTCAGCCATGTGTTGACTTAGACTTTGTGACTGGAAGGTTGTTCACTTACTGAGCTAAAATTAACATTGTAGCTTCTGACCTCCAAGAATAAATCTCTGAGCAGTGACTACACCCTGCACCCTTTAAGGTACAAAGCCACACGGACACACAAAAACTCACATCTATTTCCAAAGAAGGTTTACATGTTGGCTAACTTTCACGTTAAAAAACTCCTTCGATCCCTTATTCTGAGTATCTTTTTTATACATTTACATGTTGTTCAGCTTGTATTAAAGGTCTACACTAAAATACAACATGACAACAATGCGATTAAGTTCATAACAGTCTGAAAGGAATTAAATCAAACTCTAAATTGTTTAAGGTTGATTTAAAAAGCAGATGGTGCTCCTTCTGGAATAAGCCCTCTAAGAAATAGGAAACAGAGCAGAAATTCCCTCTCTAACACAACCAGCATTGGCACCCTTCCCCTGGCTCTCGGACACTGGCAGAATCTCTGGTTTAGAATTCCCTGGTTCCACTTTCATTCAGCAACAAGGGAGGCAGCTCTGGCTTGCACCCGAAGGACATGGCCTCACCGGGAAGCGATGTACCCGGCCGACGCATACTGAGCGCTCGCCATCCGTCAGGCACTGTTCCTACTGTTGGGGCCTCACGCTGCAGACCAGAAAGCTGGGGCAGCGAGCAGTGAGCCTCCCTACATGAGGTCATACCTCTTGTCACCACAGCTCCAGGGGCGTGGTCACAGGCCTCCTGGGAAATCTGATGAAAACTGGACACATTCTTCCCAGAAAAAGTCCAGAACACAGAATCCTGCATAGTTTCTGAGGGCTCCCACCCACTCCCCGCTTGTCTTTCTTCTGCTTTGTGAGCACATCTCACCTTCATATCTTGATCCATCTGGGTATATAAAAGTGCCGTGACCATGCTTTTTATTTTTAACGTATTCTCCAATGTACCGAGCACCGTTTTTAAATTTGTAGACTCCCTGAAACACATTGATTACAGACAATTCATATCATTCCTGAATTCAGGGCTCACCACGAGAGTATTAGCTGGAGAAAGCTACCCACCGAAGGCACCCATTCTGACCTGGCCATGTCTTTTCCCGTGTTCATAATTCCCTTCATACGTGTCCCCATTGGGCAGTCTTGCTTTCCCGTGTCCGTGTCGTTCACCTACCTCATTCCGCTCTCCCTCGTATTCCTGGGCAGAAGAGACAGGGGTAAGTACAGCCACCGTGTATTAATCACGAAGGATGGGTTAAGCATTTTTGTAAATAGTATTTCACGGAATCCCTCCCAATCCTCAGCCCCATCTTACAGGTGAGGTAGGTAACCACACCTGAGCGAGGAGGAGCATTGGTCCAAGGTGACATCCCTAGGACCTGGCACTGGTAGGAGCCTCCCTCGCTCTCTCCAACATCTGAGCTTGCAATTTCTCATGATAATCCTTTACACTGTAAACAAAATTGACAAATTGTGGAAAACTCAACGTAGTCCGAATTGTGTTCTTTATGGGAACATGTGGGAAGTAATAGATGCAGGTGGAATAGGTCTCAAGCCACACAAATACCTCCCTGTGGCTTCCTCCAATAACCCAGGACTTAAAATGCAAAAAGCCACCTCTTCTTTCAAGGATCCCCGGGAGCCTGCGGCCTCCTGACGGCTTTTACCCTCAGGAGGGGCCTGTGGGAGGGGAAGCCACATGGGGGAGCTGAGGAGTAACTAGGGCTCAGCTGTCACAAGAGTCCCTAACTCCACTTAGTTAATCTCCTTATCAAGTTTAAAGTCCTTATCAGGAGACTTGAGTTTCAAACACTCATAGACTAATACGGAAATAATTATGTACCTTAAAAGTAAATCAATAAAAAAAAAAACTAACACAGGCTTGTAATTCACCTATTTTCTCCTACCCTTCACAAAATAAACATTCCTCAAGCATCTAATCATGAGTGCAGGGTGCACATAATAAATAATAAAAGGGCAAAGGCACAGAGTAATGATTTGACATGGAGTTGTACCTGCAAAGACTTACTGCAACACGAGCTCGGAAACACTACTAGGACTTCAGAAACAAACACCTCTGCAGTCTGCCCTTGCCTAGCACTATCTAGCTCAGAAATCGTTGCTTGGAACAGAAGGTAAAAATGTGTGAGCTTGCTGATTTGTTTCAGGGTTAGTCTAAATCAAAATATATAGAAGCTACCCCCACCCCTCAGAAGACCTCCCAATGCACCCGATACTGAGCTGGAGTGACTGAACAGGAGGGGAACTCTTAAAAATGACCCCAGCTGTGATTTAAAGCTAAAATTATGGGCACAAAAGAGTTACAAAACACTAGGGCTACCTGAGGAGACAAACTTGAAGGCTTACTGGGCAGATGCTGTAGGTTGGGTTCCCCCAGAAGCAGACCCCGAGCAGGTGATTTTTTAAAAGTGCTTCCCGAGAAATCAATAAAGGGGGAAACAGACATGAAAGAGGAGCATGGGGGGTGTCAGGAGATGTCCCAGACTTGGCCTCACCGCACAGGGGATTCTGGAGTGTGAATCACTGCAGTTTGTCCTGCTTTTTAGCACTAGCTGCTGGCTGTCTGGAGAGCACGTAGATCCCAGGCTTCTGGCCCTGCCTACTGGCCAGGTGGTTCCGCTTCATAGACATGCTAGTCTTGAGCAGTAACCGGGGCAGAAGCTGGGAGATGGACGCACAGAGCTAGCAAAAATGTCAGAGCAGGCACCAACCCATCTATCACAGCGGAGGTGATAGATTTCTCAGTAAATTCTGAAACTATCTGAACTCTGTACACCACGGCTGGGGTTCCCACCTGTCCGCCAGGAAATGGTCACCCTCTGGGGTAGAGTGATTAATCTGTGGACATATATATACACCCGCAGAGAGCCCAGCTCACACGGCCGATGCTGTGCACCCGGCACCGCCTCTCTGCTGCCTAAACCGGGGAATGCCAACGACTTGGGTCAGTTCCCACAAGACTGAAGAAAGCACATGGGATTCCGGGTCTCTAGGGCAGAATCTTCGGGAAGCCTTCGCTGAGACCTTCTCAGCATCTCTTGAAGGCTGCCGCGAAGCAGCTTTCCTCCCTCCACCTCGATCCTGAGGAGCCAGGCTCCATCACAGAAAGGACTGCTCCGGACAGCACGGCAGGGCGGGGTGACCCAGCCGACCGCGGAGAGCGCCTGCATGGAGAGTGGCAGCAGGCCCGCGGAGGCTTCCAGGGGCTTTGACTCGGAAATGGCTGCCTTTAATGGGAGGCGGGATGCGGAGGGGAGGAGACGCGAGAAGGGATGTGGCAAGAAGACGTCAGCGTTCACCTTTCACCGCCAACTTCCAGGACGCGGCGCCTCTGGGGCCGGCGCGGTCCCCGTCCCTGGCTGGGAAGCCTCCCCCTCGCCCGGAGCGCTCACCCCAAGGTCATTCTCCCCCTCCTCCTCCAACTCCTCCGAGCCCAGGTCCGACATGGCCTCGCCCCGCTCTCGGTCCTCGCCGCCACCGGCGCGTCTCTAGTCGGTAGGTCCCCGCCGCCCGCACCGCCGCGTCCGCCGTCGCCATGGACACGCGGCCTGCCCCGCCTCCCAGCGGGCGGAGGGGTGGGGGGGCGCCGGGCGGAGCCACTGGCGGCCATAGCAACGGGAAGGGGCGCCCCGGCCTATAGCCGCCCCGGAAGACAGGGGGCGTGGCCTGGGGCGGGAAGGGGCGGGGTGGGAAGGCGCGGGGCGGAGCCGCTGGCCGCCTTCGGTGCTATCATAGCAACGGGGAGGGGTGCCTCGACCAATCGCCGCCCGGGCAGAGGGAGGGGGGCGGGACTCGGGACGGACTTGGTACCCGCGAGCTGTCAAACCTGGACCCCATGTGGCTGGCCCCGGGACCCTGCAGTCGGCTGCTGGGTGGTGCTGTAACGAGGAGCCACCTTTGCGCCAGGGCCATAAAGACGTGGTGCACAGAAGACGCACAGAGACCAGCTCTGGACAGGGCTTCACCTCTGCCTGGCGCTGGGCACTGCCTCCTCCGACCCGTCCCCTTGGCTTCTTGGGTCCCTCCGTGGGCCCTGCCCCCTCCTCCTCCTCACCTTCTGGGCTCTTCTGACCCTTCGGTGTTGGCAGTCCAGAGAGATACGTCCGCCGAGAGCTTTTCTCGTGTTTATAAACCTCCTCCTGACGCAAGGAGTCAGCTCTAACCTCAGCAGAGGCGTGTCCACACGGATGCCCTTCGGAGTTTGACATCCCTTCTACACCCCGAGCCTGAGTCCAGTCCCCTCTATACCCCAAGGAGGAAAGGACTTCGACTCCATGTATCATCTACCTGCTTGTCATCCGTCCACCTATCTATCATCCATCTAGCTCGCTATCAGCCCCCACAGCACCTAGAAAGGTGTTTTTCACACAGTAGATGCTCAGCCAAGCCAGTGAAATCCAGTCCAACGGGGCCTTTAGATCCCAGGTGAGATGGAAATATGGTTGAGGTCTTTCTTCATCGGTGGTACTCAAAAGAAGTTCTATTTTGTATGTGTAAATAGACAAAGACCACCCAAATGAACACGCAAAGACCATTTATTCAGAGCTTGCCCTAGCAAGGAAGTCAGCCGCCATCACTTGCATTTTGGCAGAGGCTCACAGGCAGGTGGAGGGGCGGCAAAGCTTACAGTGGAAACGAGAGGGGGCTTCAGGTGTGCCCCGATTGCAGGCTGTTGGCTCAGGGAAGCTGTAGGTGATTATCTAGAAGTGGGACATCCTAGATGACTGGTTAGCAGTGCAAACTGAACCTTCTCTGGTTGGTCCTAAGCTGGAAGTGGGGACAAAGATTAAGGAATTGCTCAGTTATTAATCAAGTCCTGGCCAATTGTTACAGCCGTTAGTGTTTGCTCCTAGATCAATTGGTGGAGATAGCAGAATGACTTCCTACAAGTCTGACTTACAGCACACTGGCTTCCTGGACTGGTTACTGTAGATAATGGGTTGGTCTCCTAGGCTGTAGCTTGTGGGTCAGAGTTCTGTTCTATGTGGTTTGGCATTGTACATTTGTATAATTACACATCTGCAAATTACACAAATAACTGTGTTGTCTCAAATCTCAATATTGTTGGGTTTTGAGTTTTAATACCTTGAACAATAACAATAACCCAAATAATTTTATTTCTTTAAACCTAATATTTAAGTACTCAAAAAAACTCATCTAAATGGAGGGGAAACAGGTCTCAAAGTCATCATTGTTCACTGAAAACATTACTCTCCTACAGCTAGAATGCCCAAGTTCTAATTCTGGGTTCCCACGGCTTCGGTGACCTCAGGCAATTCACCTGCCCTCTGAACCTCCGATTCCTATTTTGTAAACTGGGGAGGATAAGCCCTTCCGATCTCAAGGAGGTGCCATGGGGATCAAAGATACTATTTTATTAATGTATTGTTATTTATTATGATAGCTACCTGATGTTAACAATAAAACTATTACAAAGAAATCACATATCATTAAAAGAAAGTTCCCCTCACACCCACCCCAAGGTGTGTTGTTTGTCGTTGCTGTGCGAGTAGGGGGAGGAAACAGTTTGATCTTGCCGACAGCCTTAGAGATGCCAAACCCATGAGGGGAAGCATCCACAGATCTTCCAGAGCACACATACTTTGCAGCCTTTCCCTCAGAAACAGTGACATAATGGAAGATAGTGATCTTAACCAAATCTCAGGCCCAAACACATCACTGACTGAAAAAAGAAACAATTTACAAGCAAATTAACACACAAGACCCTACAATTAGCATTATTTGTTAGTTGCAAAAAAAAAAAGGATTGTAAATACCAAAATTTAACAGTTTTTCTTGTGGGGAAGAGTGAGGTGTTTGGGAAAAAGATAATCATGATCTTCTTTATACTTGGCAGTTGCCATATTTACTACAATTAAGCATTGGAGGCTGTTGGCTCAGGGAAGCTGTAGGTGTCTTTTTCTAATAAAATGTCAAAAATATTTTAAATGCTAGAAGTCTGGCGTGGTAATTGGTAATTCAAATACATTTTAGCTTTTTTGCATGTGAAAATGAATGTCAGAAATTCAACATTCAGATTTGCTCTAACAATGACAGTAGTCAAGTTTTGCTGAGTTCTGACTCTGTGCTGGCTGTGTTTTAAGAGTTTTATATGAATTATCTTATTAAATCCTCGCTGTCATTCCCCCACTGTACGGCTAAGGAAAGGAAGCCACAGAGAGGTAAAGTCATTGTTCAAGTTCACACAGCCAATGGGATTCAAAGCCATCACTGTTCATCATTACACTCCACTGCCTCCCAAATCTCTGATTTAAAGGCATAACTGGTTTTTCTGGGAGTGGCCTTAAACCATCTACTAAGCAGAGAACCACTGGCTCAATGAGCTTTAGATTGAAAACACACACACACACACACACACACACACACACACACACACACACAAAATAGAAGTGGCTTAAGCAAACCCTATTCAGGATCACATCCAGCAGCTGGGTGCCTAGCCACAGACAGCACTAGTGAATTCTACAATTTACAACTTGATTTACATCTCGTGCAAATTAGTCAGTTACCCCTCCCCCCCAGATCTTTCAATCTACAGTAATTTCACTACACGGCAGGTTTAGCAATGGCCCACATAAGATAAGACGGGATAGCAACAGGACCGCGTCCCTAGCTTCCCACAGCAACACCGGACATGACGCAAACTCCTCCTCCAACCAGAAGAGCTCAGATCAGGCTCTCCCCCTCTGGGAGACCCGGGGAGTACCAGTAAGACTTCATCAGGCCAGGCTGATTCCTGGTACCCCAGACTCCCTGACCCCTGACCCCCAGGTGACCCCGAAGTGCCCGGTAGTCACAAAAGCAGCACTTTCAAACTCCGAAGTAAGGCCCTCAAGAGGCTTCCTTAACTCGTCCTCTTCCTTTCTTCGTGGGCATGAGGGGGAAAAGGGTGAGAACATCAACAGAAGCGGGTTTCTTCACTGGAAAAAAGAGAAGAAATCCTCTTCCACCTCTTAAAAACATTTTCAGGGAGACACTTCCCATAATTCACCGGCAAGGTCTCCCATCATCCCCCAGCCAGCCCTTCCCATCATCCCCCAGGAGGCGTTTCCCATCATCTACCAATGAGCCCTTCCCATCACCCACCACGAGGCTTCCCATCATCCCCCAGGAGGGATTTCCCATCAATCCCCAGCAGGGAGCTTGCGCAGATGCGTCCCTCCGCGAAGGAGGGAGGGCCTCGGGTGAGTGGAGGTGGGGAGGGCGCACCGTTCTGCGCCGCTGCTTCCCCAGTAAGAAATTATCTTCTTACCTTTACCAAGTAGAAATGACAGAGACCCACCTCTCTCAACCTACCCGCCCTCCTCCAAAAAAGGAATGAGTGATGAAAACACGGCCCAGGCCGGCCAGGCCGGCAGGGGGGGCCCTTAGCCTCTACCAGGGGATTGCTCCAGAGGGGAGGAAAGTGTCTCGGAACCCCCCCCCCGGGGGTCGGCCCCCTGATTCCACACCTTTCTGACCACCTCCAAGCGGAGGGCTGTAGGCCTGGCAGTTGCCATGGCGACTAGCTGTGTCCCTGAGCCGGGCCCTTCTGAGTTCCTCAGGACCCGCTGGAAAAGGCCCTAAGAACTAGGTAGAGTCAGAAGAATGCAAACAGGCCTGTTTTGTTTTGTTTGTTTTGTTTTGTTTTGTTTTGTTTCAGGCTGTGGCAACTGCTCAGGTAATACATAGGGGCTCTCAACAAAATGAATTCAGCCCCATCTTGACTGTGGAAATGTCAGGCTGTTAATTAAAATTGCCTCCGTTCTTGGCAGTGTAAGCTTGTACGTATGTATACACCCGTGCAAACATACGTGTGTAGGTACAGAGAAATAGGCAAATACAGGTCGACGTATAAACAGGTACACTAAAAACAGGAACTGCAGCTTCTTTTTGTAAAATCGAGTTTAACAGCATTTAGTGGATACGAGCCAGATGCAAGGCTGGAATCCTAGCCGTTTTCTACTTTCTGAAGTCCATTTGCCCATCTTTTTTTATTTTATTTTATTTTATTTTATTTTATTTTATTTTATTTTATTTTATTTATTTGACACAGCGAGAGGGAGCACAAGCAGGAAGAGCAGCAGAGGGAGAAGCAGGCTCCCCGCTGAGCAGGGAGCCCGATGCGGGGCTCGATCCCAGGTCCCCGGGATCATGACCTGAGCCGAAGGCAGACGCTTCACCGACTGAGCCACCCAGGCGCCCCCGTTTGCCCATCTTTAAAATGGAGATATGGTCACTGCCCTCCAAGGGCTGTTGTGATGTCTACGTAAAATGTTTACAGGGAGCCTCGCACAGTGCCAAGCACACAGTGAAGGTGGCTGTAAGCTGTTCACAGTTATACTGTGTTTATCGCTCATGTAGTCAACTGAGCACCTTCTACCAGTAGGTCTTCGGTTGATCTTCGTGATTTTCAACCATTGTTTCTTCCTGAAAAGGATCAAAGTGCCAAAGGTGGTTCGGCCAGG